TTATATTTTTTGGCCCTTAGGCTCTTGTATATCGGCCCTTAGGCTCTTTTAGGTTGGCCCTTAGGCTCTTTTGGATTGGCCCTTAGGCTAATTTAGGTTGGCCCTTAGGCTCTTTTGGGTCGGCCCTTAGTCTCTTTTAAGTTGGGCCAATTCAGCCTCTAAAGCGGCTATAATTTTTCCCTCTTTTTGACTAAAAGACTTAGTGAAAATTTTTCTATGCCTTAGCATGTGTTTTTTGTACCCGTTGGTTTTTTCGAAGGTTCGATCGATTGGAACCTAATTTGTAATTCGTTTGTATAACGACAATCGAATACCTTTTGAGGTTTTTTCTAAAGCTGATGTTATTAAAGCCTTTAAATTATTCGAGGGCTGATTTTATCGAAGCCCTTTATCATTTGCTTTTGCCGAGGGTAGCCTGATTTAACTAGTTTTTCAAAGTGTTTGAAGGCCTTTAATTTATGCGGAAGTCGGACGTCTCCGAGCTGCATTATTTTGGCCATAGCCTTTTTATATGACCGTAGTCTTTAATATGGCCGTAGCCTTTGATATGGCCGTAGCCTTTAATATGGCCGTAGCCTTCGGGTATGTCTCTTGGACTTGTTCCCGATAACCTTTCGAACTTGTTTGAAAGGTTAGTCCCCGAGTATGATGGCCTTGGCCTTTGTATCGAGGGGATGCCTCTTTGAGGTCTTATGAGTTCGAGTTTTCGATAACTCGGAGATTTTGACAAGGGTTCTGCCAGTCTCTTGGAAAAGCAAAATCACTGCTATTCAGGAATCAAAGAACATTGCCACTCTTAAGTTGGATGAGCTAATTGGAAATATCACTGCCTATGAACTTAGAAGGCAAACCATGAAGATGGATGCGCCCAAGAAGGAAAGGAGCCTGTCACTCAGAATCACTGAAGGTGCTGATCTAGTGATGGATGAAATGGCCATGATCACAAAGGACTTCAAGAAATACCTAATGAGAGGAAATGGTCCTTCCAGAAGTGGAAACTACAACAAACCAAGGGTTCCTGAAAAACAAACCAATGAGGGATGTAACAAGTGTGGGAACACTGATCACCACATCAAAAACTGCCCTCGGTGGGAAATTCAATGGAAGAAGGAAAGAGCTGAATGCAGAAACAGGAAGAAGGAACAGGTTCATCCCAAGAAGAACAAAGGATCAACAACGGCTATGGTTGCTGCTTGGGGAAAAAGCTCAGATGAGGACCTCAGAGGATGAAGATGGAGATGAACAAGCACTTACGTCCATTGGAGAATCTGATGAGGAATTTGAGGTAAGTGTAATTCATCTAAAAGACAAGATTAAATTTTTGTCTAAAGAAAGGCTATCTGAGTTACTCCCGGATTTCATTGATGAATCTGAGGATCTAAACAATGAAAAGAAATAGCTATCTAAAGAGTGTGTGATTTTGAAATCTAAGTACAAAAATCTGTAGCTTAGGGCTAGTGAAAATGATAGTAAAAATGCTGAGTTAAAAAATCAGGTTCTTGAACTTGACACCACTGTCCTAGAGCTTAGATCTGAAAATTTAAAACTAAAATTAGGAACAGGTAAAAAGAAAGCTGATCACACATAACTCACTTTAGAAAAAAATCTAGGAAAAATGAAAGATGAGTTGTACAAAGGAGATGAGAAGATAAGAGTCCTAAAGGAGGATCTAAGCAAGGTTAAGCACGAGCTAGACAGAACCTGTAAATGGAATAGGTCCTCAGATGCACTTTCATGGCTACAAGAACACCATAGTAGCAATAAGAGAGGACTTAGCTACGGGACCCCTGCACCTAAGTGGGATCCCAAAAGCAAGTACATCACACTTCCTGAGAACAAAATCTGCACACACTGTGGTAAGAGTGGTCACTACAAAAGTGAATGTACTGCAAAAGAAAAGGCTAGTCAAAAGAATAAAATATTTGTTCAAGGGAAAAATAGGCTGCCAGGATGGGCCAAAAAGAATCTAATTCACCCTTTTGACTATAGAAAGGGACACAAACTAGTTTGGGTTCCTAAGACTAACCCCTAATTTTCTTTTGCACGTCTAAGTGAAGGGGAGCAGCCAAATATGGTACATGGATAGTGGCTGCTCAAAGCACATGACAGGAAGCAAGAACCAGTTCCTTTCACTTGAGGACCTCAAAGGAGTAAATGTCTCCTTTGAAAATGGAAAGAAAGGTGAGATCATTAGGGTTGGAAAGGTAGGTAAGACAAACTCTCACTCTATTGAGAATTTAACATTTAAATATGAAGCACTTGACATATTTACTTCTTTTGTTAGAAAAACTCAGTAACAACTAGGTAATCAACTTGCATCAATTAAATCTGATCATGGAACTGAATGTGAAAATGCTAAGTTTGCTGAATTTTGTGATGTGCATGGCATATATCATAATTTTTCTGCTCCTAGGACTCCACAATAAAATGGGGTAGTTGAAAGAAAGAATAGAACACTTGAAGATATGGCTAGGACTATGCTTCTTTCTAGTAAACTGCCCCATAGTTTCTGGGCAGAAGCTGTTAATAATGCATGCTACATCATCAATAGGTGCATGACTAGATCTCTTGTAGAGAAGACTCCTTATAAGTTACTTAAAGGGAGAAAATCAAATATATCCCATCTTAGGGCATTTGGATGCAAGTGCTTTGTGCACAACAATAGTAAAGACTCCCTAGGTAAGTTTGACCCCAGAAGTGATGGGGGAGTATTCTTGGGATATTCTTCACATAGTAAAGCTTATAAAGTATAAAACAAAAGAACTATGTGTGTAAAAGAAAGTGTTCGTGTGGTTTTTGATGAAACTAACATTCTAACTATTTGTTTATATTTCTTTGATGGTTGAATTTCTTAGCTTGATCAATGATGATTAATCTATGATTGTATTTGGGATAGCCTCAGTGGCCATGAGTAAGTTTTAAAATCTGGGTATTGCATATTTTTTATGCAACTTTTCGATGATGCCAAAAGGGAAAAAAAGGTTGTGCTTCAGACAAGTGATGTTTAGCTTTGAACAGTGATGTTTATAAATGCGAGGACTGCCTGGCCCAGCTACTCTTCGCATTTGCGATGAATAGCTCGCAAATGCGAAGCTGTCATGCTCGCAAATGCGAACTCTGATCTCGTAATTGCGAGATCAGAGGCCAATTCCTAGAAATTGCAGATATCAGCAATGCCTAAGTCCAATATCACTCTGTAGCCTATCCGAAACTCACCCGAGCCCTCGAGGCTCCAAATCAAACATGCACACAAGTCTAAAAACATCATACGAACTTGCTCATGCGATCAAATTACCAAAATAACACTTAAACCCACAAATTTAGCACCAAATCAAATGAAATTCTCAAGAACACTTTGAAATTCCTATTTTCACAACCAGATGTCCGAGTCACGTCAAACCAACTCCCTTTCTCATCAAATTTCACAGACATGTCTTAAATATTATATTGAACCTGTACCAGGCTCCGGAACTAAAATGCGGACCCGATTCCAACAAGATCGAACATCAATGCAGTTAGAATGGATGCCTTTTTCCCTTGTTGAAGCAGCAAAGTCAGTAGCCTTTCTTTTATGTGGGATTGGAAATCAATAACTTTTTAGATTTCAATTTTTATCAAAAATTCATAACTCGGGCTAGGGACCTCCGAATCCGATTCCGGGCATACGCCCAGGTCCCATATTTCGATACGGACCCACCGGGACTGTTAAAGTATGAATTCGGGTCCGTTTACCGAAAATGTTGACCAAAGTCAACTCAAATGAAGTTTTTAATAAAAAATCCTTTTTTTTATCAAGTTTCAACACAAAAGCTTTCCGGAAACACGCGCGGACTGCGCACGCAAATTGAGGAGGGATAAAATGAGGTTTTTAACGACTCGGAACACAGAGTTTAGTTTTAAATCATAAGATGACCTATCGGGTCATCACAAAGTTTAGGTTCCGTGCAAAGGCGTATCCAATGTAATAGTTTGGCTCATACCCTATATTTTTGCTTAACAAATTATTAAATATATACAAATAATAAATTCTGAACCCATTAAATTAGATGAGATGTGGTAGAATTACAAATCTGAACCCACAAAGTTCAAATCCTTGATCCGCCTCTAATTCCGTGCACTCGGCATATATATACTTTTTACACTATCATGTTTAATTAACTGACAACAATATTTAGGTCTTTATAAGAAATCTAATATGATAATTAAAAAGCAAAGTAACAACTTATTATAATTAACCAAATTGCTCTAGTAACTTATACATAGTATAATTCTTTTATACTATGAGAATATATAACTCACTGTTTTACTCAACTTCCGGATTGTGGCCCCAACGGAATGAACGGGGGGAGGGGGGAGGGAATGACACTATATAACCGCTTTTATAATAATAGTCGAAAAAAATATATTTTTTATATGTATAAATTCTGTACGTCATATATAAAAATTATACGAATTTTATACTCGTTTTCATTAAATAATTAATACAAATAATTTGGCGCAGGCTAAAAGTAATAGTAATACCCAAAAAAATCAGCCGACACCTCCTAGACATGGAACCCACTAACGTATGAAAAAGCCACAAAAAAGACCGTTAAAGTTAAAAAAAGAAAAGAAAAAAGGCGGGGTCCCCTAACGGCAGCAATGCGCAATACCCGCCAAAGTATATGATCTCAGTTCTCAAACTATATCCATTTACTCTTTACTACTTCCCACTTTCCACTTTACTATTATTGTTTTTTTCCTCACTTTATATTTAGAGGTTGATCCACTGCTAAAAAAAATAAAAATTAGCGACTGATAATTCTACAGCTAAACAGAAATAATTAATTTAATTTAATAATAAATTATTAAAAAATTTTGTTAGCTACGAGCAATTTAGTAACAGATTAACGATAAAATACACAACTAATTCCAATTTTTTTTTTAATTATAATTAGTAGATTCGTTGTATTTTTTTTTCCTTGTTTTTATTACTAACATATTTTCGAGCTAAAAATAAATAAAGAGGGTTCTTTATTCTGACTCTTTCAGTTATAGCTATGAAGTCTTGTCGCAGAAGCAGCTTTTACTCTTCTTCTTCTTCCACCGTCACCTGCTTTATGGAAAATGACCAATCTACCCCGGAGATTATCCAAATTGCCGTTCAGTCCCCGCCGGAAAATGAACTCCCAAACCTCTCAGCTCCGACCGGTACGGCTGCTGTTAAAATACAGTCAGCTTATAGGTCTTACATAGTTCGTACCCTTGTAAAGAAGATCGCGGCCGTCAATTCTGAAGCTAACTATTTACAGCGACTTATCCAACGACAGGTATAATTGACTGATCATTTAACTGTGCGCTTTACTAAATTGCTCTCTGAATTTCAGTTTATTAATTCTTATGGATCTAAAACTTTAACCTGTCGTAAATGGTTAATTATTATTCTTATCAGATTACGGATTGATGTTTATCAAGAGATTTACCTGTAATTACCTAATAAGTGATACGCTGAGAATGCTTAGAGCTTAAATTCTAAAATAAATAAGTATATGGATTTCGAACAATTTCACCTTATCTAATTCACATAGTATATGTTCTCATGATTTTAAGCACATTGTTAAAGGTGAGCCTTGGGTTAACTGGTAAAGTTGCTGCCATAGGCCATGTGACTAGGAGGTCACGGGTTCGAATCGTGGAAACAACATCTAACAGAAATGCAGGGTAAGACCGCGTATAACAGACCCTCGTGGTCCAACCCCTTCCCAACCCCGCGCAGAGCTGGAGCTTAGTGCACCGAGCTGCCCTTTAAGCACACTGTTCATGTTAAGAGTAATGTCGAAGAAGGTTGGATAATAAAAGGCGTCTTTCTGAGACCAGAAAGACAAGGCCAGACCTCTTGGCAGTGGATGTTCTTGACAATTTAAATCTACTTTAGCTTCTATTTGTTTGCCCATTAATTCAAAATATCCGTATTAACCTATCTAGTGGATGTTTGTATGTGTTTCATCGGTGTTATTCCTTGTGCTACTGTATGCTGATTACATTTCCAAGAACTACTTTGATGCAACATCAGTTAGTTTTCAATCAATCTAAATATTGTCAACTCCCACGAGGTCGTAAAGAGAGGATATTTGGGGAAGCAGTGAGTGGAGATTCCCCTTAATATGATAAAAATCCAACCATAAAATTTCAACTACAGAAATGATTGATAGAGTATGAGCTAAGAAACCGACAAGGCCAGACCTCATGGCAGGAGAGTTACATGTGAGCGAGGGGAATAACATAAAATTTTCAGGTTGCAGAGAGGAGTATGTAACTACAACGTAACATAGTCATATTAATTATTAAGGTAAGAGGAGTTGTAAAAACTCCAGTTGCACCTTGTGCAAGTATAAGACTCCTTTAGTTAGTAGGGGTTACTACAACAATAACAACAACAAACCTAGTGTAATCTCACAAAGTGGAGTCTAGGGAGGGTGGAGTGTAGGCAGACCTTACCCCTACCTTACGAAGGTAGAGAGGTTGTTTCCAATAGAATTAGTAGGGGTTACTCCTATATAAATATGTATGCACATAATACCAAATTGTAAGTTTTAGCGATTCATGTGTAGTGATGGCATTTCCTATTACTGGTTGTTATGTCGGTGAGGTACAAATAGACCATATCAACATTAAATCTTATCAACCATTGTTGTGAAAGCACATAAACCATCTAGCTACTTGCTAGAATGGTAGATGACCACTGAAATCGCGTCCTTGACGTGTATTTTCAACTACATCTCTATCCCAAATTATTCGCGATTTGAGATGATTGAATGATGACGGAGCTGAAATTGTAGTTTGCTACCGCTACAGTGGATACTCTACCGGATTCTTATCGTTGGTAGGCTTGCTAGGTGGCTTGGTCTTACTTAGCACCGCCAGACATGACATGAACCGCATGCAGGGTCATGACTGGTTGTTATGTCAGGTACAATTAGTCCATATCAAAGTTAAATCTTATCAACTATTGTTGTGAAGTACACAAACCATCTAGCTAGAATGGTACATGATCTCACTGAAATCACGTCTGTGACATGTCACTTGTTGATAGCAGGATACAGTTGATGCCGTACGGTCCAGTGAGCGAGAGAGAATCAGGATGAACGAGGCACTAATGGGTCTGCTATTGAGATTAGACTCAGTGCCAGGAGTTGATCCAACAGTCAGGGAGCTGAGGCGACATGTGAGCCGCCGGATCGTGGGGTTGCAAGAGATACTAGATGCTGTTTCTGACACTAAGATTCAAAACTGGGATGGATTTTTGATGGACTGGGATGATGTTGTAGAGAGGATGGAAATGGAGGTTTGCAAAGAAAGAGGTGGTAATGAATTGGAGACGTTCTGTGCTGAGCATTTGGGTTTTCGGTGCCTACAAAGATTTCTCCGCGACCAATAATGATACGAACCCTCAGAAATGTAATGTCATCTTTCCTTTCTTGTTAATACATTATATATATCTATACATGTATCTGACTTGTAATCCTGTTGTATACTGCATATGAGAGTTCTCTTTCCTTCTCGTCTTCGTTCTGTGTTAATGACATCTGGTAACATTTGCTTTCTATAGGTTTTCTGGAAACATTGATCTAAATTCTTTGCTACGTTAGGAAATTAAACTTGATCGATTAGGTGTAGATGTATATTTTTCTTTCAGTTCCCTGTTTCTGTCAAGGATATTCTAAAAGTATATTGCATAAACAAGGTGTTATGGTATATATGTCCTAAGAGCGTTTTCTGTCGTAAAATTTTGAGAAAAAGTGCTAACACTAATCTGGTAAAAAAGAAGAAAGATGGAGTGTACGAAGAAATATGAACCTGTTAAGTGGCAAGAACTTTAAAAGTTGATGAATCCATCACGTTAAATCCTGAATTCGCCTATGTAACAATTGTAATACATATATAGTACTCTAGCAAAAGCATGTGTGCAGTTCATTTCAATGAAATAATAAGTTCTTATTACTAATACAGCAGCTTCTCAAGCTTACATCAATTCTCTACACTTAGCAGTTACTGATATTTCCTTCAAGTGAATAGCATGACAAACTAACCCCTCCAATACCCCCCCCCCCCCCAGCAACCCCACTAAAACGACCTTTGTTTTCTCTTGATCTCTCTATACTTGATAAAACATAGAACTTACATGCAGAACGAGATGATGCATTAGACAGAGCTGCAACTACATTTGCATTGTGACAAGCAATTCTTGCAATCAGAAAGCCTTGGGTAGACACCTTTGCAATCACACTTCTTCGTGCACTTGGTGCGAGAAGTTCCGCCCCACAAGCATTTGGCCATGCAACGCATGATAGGCGCGCATTTTGGACAGTCGACCTTCATGTGATTTACTATGCAATTTCTGCAGCCATCACCATCTGTTGGGCACCCAAAACTGGGAGAAGTCATCTCACACACTATCATCAGCATTAACAGACACCCAAAGAGTGTCTTTGATGACAGCCTTTTCCCCTGTCCCATATATATCTTCTATACACTCTATATATGTCCTTGCTTGTAGACACCTCTTGTGACTTGTGATGAGAGGGCGAGTAGAGGCAAGAGCTCTATTTATAGAGGGTAGTCAACTCAATTCAAAATATCAGTCGTTTATGGCCGACTGAATTTGTTTTAAAATATTGGTATTTTAGAAAAGTGAGAAGTCATTATTAAACTTTTTCAACATATATATCTTACTGTAGTGGAGTGTTAATCACGTGAGACGTTTAAGGGGGAGATAAGGTAGTTTAGACAAATACATCTAATGATTAAAGTTAAGGGGTGTGCAAAAACCTTAAAAGACACATAATTCCTCCCTCCAATCTAATTTACTTGTTACATTTGCAAAAAATAGTTGTTCCAAAATACTTATCATCTATGTGAACCAAGAAATTATTAATTATGTTTTTCAATTTTGCATATACTACTATAACAAATGTTTTAGAGAAGTAATAAAAAGATTGAGAGATAAAAGAACAAATACGAGCAATCTAGTCAAATACGAGTAACTCCTATTGCTAATGTTTTCTTAATTGGCGTAACAAAAGGCTATAGTAACAAGTAAATAGGAGGGGATAGATTTTAGATATACCGGAATTCAATTCTTTGACTTCATATATATCTACTGTTGTCTACTCGAAAAACTGGGAGAATTCTTAGACAGAATTCATGGATGGTTTGGCACAGATTTCTACCTAAAATTTAGTACTCTGGTCCTGGTTTGTATCAGCATTTAAGTTCTATTTAATGTGTTGCAGTTAAAGTTGGCTATTGTCTTGGGTTGCTCAATAGTGCCTCATCTCCTCGTTACCATATGGTTTTAAATGATTGACATCCTTGACCTTTTCTGCCTACAGCTTTTGCTTCTACCTATGCAAAGTTTCCCGGAATCTAAATGCCATATGGGGTAGCATGCATTCACTCACTGAGATTTTTTGTCTTAGGGCAAAATGTCATCTCCAAGTGAATATAACCAGCTAATTGGGGCAACTTTTCTTAGTTGGAAATTTGGAAAACAACAATATTCTGCTATGAGAACAATTGAGAGAGTTATGTTATGTGAATGAAGAAATAAAATTTATTCATAGTTTTTCAAAGGATTAAATTAGTAATTAATGGTAGGGGTGTTCAAAACCAAACCGAAACCGAAAACCAAACCGAAACCGAAGCTTAATGGCTTATTGGTATCGAGTTAACGGTTTAACGGATGAGGAACGGATTGAAATTTTTTCATTAACGGCTTATCGGTTTGGGGGCGGATTATTCAATTTCCTTGACGAATAATCCGTTCCGTTAACCCGTTAAGAATATATATATAGTACTTTATCTCTATTACTATTAGACATTTAGATTGTAGAAAATTAGAAACCCTAACGGCCAGAGCCCAGAGCAGCCTCGTCGACTCGCCGTGTCTCATCGACTTGCCGTCTCCCTCTCGCTGACTCGCCTCTCCATGAGTCACTGACAGCCATTACTTGAGAGTCCACTGGACCTGTTAGCTGGTTGATCTATTCTGATTTCATGTCAAACTAGGCAAACTTTCTGATCCATCAACTGAAATTTTTGCAGCTGGTGCACTGTGCACATACTGACTATGGTCTGATTACTCTTTTGGCCACAGATGATGTCTGTGTCCTTCAGGTAAGTTATCAGAAAACTTCGAACTTTCTAGATAGATATTAATCATGTTTAAGTCGAACTTTTAAATCTAATCCAGATATGCAAGGATAAGGATGCTAGGCCTCAGATTTGGGAGTATGTGCCACCATTATAAGGGTGAGACATGACAAGTTTCTTAGTTTTGTCCTCTGTTTTGTAAGTAAAGCACAAGTTATAACGTGTAAGGTTTGATACTGCTTAAGAATCATGTCTTCTCCTGCAGTATCAAACAGAGACAGCTTGCCTTTTGTTAACAATGTAAAAGTTAAGTTGAAATCACCTATGTAGCATAATAGAAGATTTCACTCTCTATAATGTAATAGACCGATTAGTTTGCAACAGCAGTTTGTAGCTTTAGGGAAAGGCCCAGCAAGTTTGTAGCAAGTGTAACCAGTCAATTATTATAAGGACTTGAATGCATGTTTTCCCTTGTGTCTTATTTACCAAGATTCAGGAACCTTTTCACTGACCAAAATGAGCATGTATACTTCATATTGATATGTTTTGATGCCGAACCGATAAACCGCCCGATAACCGTCCGATAAGAGCTAAACCGATACCAATCCGCCCGATATCTTATCGGGTGGCTAGCGGATTAATATATTTAAAAGTCGATAACCGATAAGCCAAACCGCTAAGAGTAAAAAATCGCCTAATCCGCCCGATAAGCAGCCCTAATTAATGGAGGTATTATTAATATTTTTTTTAGAAGCCCTAAAAGGGGGCTGTTTCTGCAATTCCAGCCGTTGGGAAACGGTGAAAAGGAACTGACCGCTGCCAACGTTCAATTACATATAAAAAATATAAAAAAGGTCGAAACTGTAGCCGTTGAACCGATCCAGGCCAATCCGAGCAGATCCGGTAACTAGTAACCCATTGATGTGACTTTATCGGTCCGGTCCACCGGTAAGCAAATTTCAACCGGCACAGACCGGTTCCCTAGCCAGCCCACCCCTGTCCGGCCCCTTATACATCCGAAATTCAAAAATAGCCAGATTTACAACTGTTCGTTCAAAAATAGCCCAATTTCAAAAGTAATCAAAATTTAGCCACTTTCATGTAAAGAAAAATCTGAGTGAAAACACTGTTCAAAACCCGAAAAAATACGCCAGTATATTATGCTGGAGTTCCAGCATAAGTATACTTGAACTCCAGCATATTATATTGGAGTTCCAAGATAAGTATGCTGGAACTCCAGCATAATATGATGGAGTTCCAGCATAAGTACACTAGAACTCCAGCATAATATACTGGAGTTCCCGCAAGTATACTGTCCCAGCATAATATACTGGAGTTTGGAACACCGGTGCTCCAGTCTCCAGTATATTGTACTAGAGCCAGCAAAGTATACCGGTCCAGCATAATATGCTGGAGTTCATATACAGGTGCACCGAACTCCAGTATATTATGCTGGACCGGTCTCTGCCGCAGCAAAATAGTGGCTATTTTTCATCGACTTGGTAAACGCTGGCTATTTTTGAATGACCAGTCCGAAAACTGGCCATACTGTGCTATTTTAACCACTGGGGCTAATTCGGTCCAATTGGAAACCGTTCCGGTCCAGAAACGGGCAGCCCGGCCCGTTAGCCACCTTTAGTTTCAACAAAGTAGCTCCGTGATCACTTTAGATTTAGGAGAGATGGAACTATGGAAGTATAGTATGAAAATAGAAAGGCACTAATAGCCCATTTACTAAACCTAATATCTCAAGAATTACACAAAGTAAATATCATTATTTAGAACTAAGTTGTTAGGATAGTATAACATTTCAATGGCAAAAAAGAAATAACCATTTGTTACTTATTATCATGATATTGGGGGGGGGGGGGGGGGGGGGTTTCCCATGATATCTTGGCCAAGTATATTTAGCAAGTTTCAATCTTTGGTAGGTTTTCAACTCAGAAATCATGAACAATCATACGAGTGGTTGAACCAGCAAAACATATAAAATACTAAAGGCTAAAGAGAAAAGTAGCCAAAGTTTCCTAAACTGAACATCTTTGGTTGGAAGGAAAGCAAAAGAATGCAATATCATTATGAATGAAACTTTTCTATTTCTTGAAATCTCTTCTTGGTTTCTTGACATTCAAAAGGAACCAATCACACACCTAAGCACATATAAAATGAGAAAATTCTTGGTTAATCTAGCATAGACAAAGCTCAGCTTTATTAAATCACACTCATCAAACAAAAACCTAACTGCTAATATTACCTTCCACTCCCTCCCCCTTCATATTTCAACAGTCAACTAAAGCAGGATATCATCAATTTTTTCCTTCTTTTTCCTCTTTTGAAAAACTACTAGAGAGAACTGACAAAAATGAAGAACGAAAACAAGACGATCTGGGGCAACGACTCGAGCAACAATAATTTTTCTTCATGTTGCCTGCCATTCTTTCTTAATATCAAATGTGTAGTTGATCTCCAAATAGCACTTGTTATCATCATCAAGGAACTGCAAAGCAAAACAAGAAACACGACAATTTTTTTTTAGTTTATATGCATAATAGCATGTGCGACGAAATATGCATATATCTCCCAGGTTTGAAAAAACATATACATGTGAAAGCATCAAGAGTGCTACAAAATTCAGCAACAGGTGAATGCCTAAATTTTAATGTTGCTTATTGAAACCATATCCAAGACTCTGCTTCATTTGGCATTTTCATATTGTGGTCCTATGCTTACTTAAAGAGTAGTAGAAAACAAAAGATAATGAAGCTCAAATGGTCCCCTACTATATGGTAAAGATAAGGACCATGTGCAATGAACTGCAACATCAGAATCAGTCTATCATATTGAAGAAAAGACTATTCACCAAATTAAATACATGCGCTTGTTGATTGTCATTAAACTAAGCCATGACCCTAGCAGAAGCTTCAACATTCAATTTCTGGGGTATACAGGATGTACTCTGCTGCTAAGGGTGTCCGTCACGGGTGCGGATCAAGAGGTCGGATCATTTGACATGTAAGTTCTAAGATTCGGGGATACGAATCCTATTACGGATACGGGATACGGGTATGGGGACCTGGCTAAAAAAAAAGGACAGCCCGGTGCATTAAGCTCCCGCTATGCGCGGGATCTGGCTAAAAATAATTCAAAAAAATAAAATATCTCTAAATTATGAGAACTTTTGTGGAATACTTACGTATAACTTGTAAAGTGTGAATTTCTTTTTTATTCTAAAGTTATAAATAAGTAAATGATTGATTTCCTAGATAAGATATGCTTTTTTTTTCAAATTTAACCTAGTTTTGGTTCTGATTTCGGGAATCAAATTGTATCTCGGCTCGAATTTTTTCGTCCGTCGTGATCAAAGTACCCAAAATTGTTTAACCAAATCCGGTACGAATCCCATACCCACACCCATACTAGTGTTGTGTCTATACAGATGCAGCACCTAAACTGCTGTGTCAGAGCAACATAGCTCTGTTGAATGGTAGATGAGAATATGTTAAAAGCATGAAATGAGAAAGCTGATAATCACCTTTGTCCTTGCCGAGTAAGATCCTCTCGCAAAAATGCCAGAAGGGGTAGTCTCTTCTGGCATCTCGTGTGTATACGGCTCGGATTGAGGACTAAACGCCCCAATCATTTCTTTCATGCTGTCCACTGAGATAAGGTTTTTGAAAAAAGAAAACATTAATCAGAAACATCATATAAACAAATTTCTTAGGCCTCAAAATGACATTTCACAAAGAGATAGATACCTTTGATACCAGTTTTCCAAACTGTGTTCGTGTATTTGAGACCTGTTACTATATTATTGCTGACCTGGAATTTGAAGTTCAGGCTGTATTTGCTCCCTTCTTTCAGGACAAACCATGGACTTTTGGGTTTTCCATCCTCTGGAATTGGCAGAACAATATCAGGTCTACCCGGGGACTTAATTTCGAGGCTCAAGATCTTCACTTCTGGATCCAGTGACTCTACAATTTTATAGCAGACAGTAGAGAAAAATGTCAGCATTTTCTATCAAACAGTCGTCCAATGCTCCATCACTAGATCCTATCTGGTAACCAAATTCATTGAGATGGATATCCTTTTATTGAAACTCAGGAATAGACAAAGTTTGTGCCGAACTCTTTCACATTCTATAGCATTCTTCAAATTCAACAATTAAGAATTCTCAGACGACCCATAAGGAGAAATGAACTCTGGGATCTTGTTTAAAAGAACAATCTAAAAGATGTCAAATTTCACAAGATTATATCTTAGTATATTTTTTTTTATTAGCTGTGGTGTCTGGTTAGCTTTCACCGACCTCAACTATTCCACCGAGTCCCTCCATCCTCGTACCAGTATCGATACATAAGATTTGAATCTAATTACGACATTCCAAAATTCACTCTGATGTAAGGCAAGATCTGAAAGTTAAAATTTTACCATGTACCGTTCGCACCAAAGAAAGATCAATGCAGGAAAGAAAAGAGGATTACTACTAAACTCTCATATAGCATGATATGCTGTTTCAATACTAGTCGATCTGACAGTACTTCTTAATATTACTTGTCATCCTTTGACTGATTAGAGAAACCAGCAAAAGAATCTCAAATTTCATAGGCTTGTTCATGAAGAAGGATTAAAAGGGGGTAATGACAAAAAATCTATTTAAAAAAAGGCAGAAGAAAAGCCATAAATTTCTAAATGCACATAAACCCATGAAAGTTGATTAAGCAAATCTTGAAATAAAAAGATGGTTAAATTACCTCCAACAGCATTAATATCCACACTTCCAAGAAGCTGCTCTTTCCATCTTCTCAAACTCTCATCATCCTAAATTCCCAAAAAATGAACATACAAATCATATCTTATAAACAAAGAACATATGAAAACAAAAGGGATGATACAACAACAACAACAACAACAACAACAACAATAACACATTGTCGAGCTCAGCTATAAGAATCCTCACTGATCATGTTCCCCATTTAAATCCAATATCAGGCCAACAACAACAAACCCAGTAAAATCCCACAAAGTGGGGTCTGGGGAAGGTAGAGTGTATGTAGACCTTACCCCTACCTTACGAACGTAGAGAAGCTGTTTCCGTTAGACCCCGACTCAACCAATATCAGTCCAACATTATACAAAATAAATGAACATAGAAATCATAGCTTATAAGCAAAAACATATGAAAGGCACATAGTTAAGCACCAAGAAGATATCAAGATTCATTTTTTTCTTAGAAACAAAAGGAATGATGCAAAGAAAAAGATGACAATTAAGCACCAAAAAGACAAAAAGATGCATTTTTTAAACCAGAAACAGAAGGTATAATAGAAAAATAAAACACACACACACACACACACCTTATCTTTCTCAAATTGTTCTTTGAGAGTGCATTGAGGACCCAACTCAATCTTGTTAGTAGTTTCATCTTCATCATCCTCCTGATCAGTAGTATACATTGAACTCTCGCTCATTTGTCTGCTAACTCTATTCTCATTAACCTCATGCTCTATCTCAGAATCAGAATCAGCAATTCCTCCTTTCTTATTAGCCTCGTTAACAGGTGCTAATTCCTCTTTATTATCCTCAAATCCCATTCTGCTAATCTAATTATTCACTAAACAAGTTCTTGACATGAACCAAAACAAGTTCTTGACAAGAAATTACACCAGAAAATAAAAGGCCTATTACCACTTCTCGTTAATTCAGTACTCAAGATGTTATATTTGATATGACAGGAAGAGAATAGAACAAGAAAATTCCAAAAAGGAAGGTAAAAAAAATTAAAGAAACCTAAAAAGAATCAATCTTTATTAAAATACAAGAAGTGGGGTGATTATGGAAAAGTGTATAGGATGAGGAAAAAATGGTCAAAAAGAATCTGAAATAAAACTAATACCCATAAAAAGGATAAAACTTGCTAAGAGGAAAAAGACACCAAGAAAAAATAATATTGTAATAGATGAAAAGGGAAAGAGAGAGAAATGAGGAGAGAGAAATGAGGGGTTAGTTTGAGGAAGTTAGAGGAACATAAAAAGGAAATGGTCATGTGGTGATTCGTGTATTGTGAGAATAACTAAAATGAAAATCCGAATAATATAATAACAATATGGATAATTGCATATTTATCTTTCAGTTAAAAGAGCGGTACACAAGTTATTTCGTCTTCCAGAGAAAGACCACATATTAAGAGGTATGATATAGGCCATCCAACCTAATGTAGATATTAATGGTTGTTTTTACGGCTCGAACCGATGTCCTAAAGATAACTTATTGCACCAAAATTCCCCTTCATATATTTTATCTTTTAGTTATTGATAAATTTTAATTTGGTCCTTGGAATTTCACTTAGCATTTAACCATAAGTTAATTAAAATGTGTGCTTTATATGGAGTAACAATACTGATTTACCACAATGCATGAATAATTAAATGATATAACGGTTAATAATTCGTTAAATTTTTAAAGAGATGAAGAAGAACCAAAAGTGCACATCTCAACTACTTGAATGTTAAATGTGCTTAAATATATATTATGAGGATTAAAATTAAAAGTTGTCGATATTTTTAGGGACTGTTAAGATTAATTATTCACTTAGCTTAGCTTAGTTATTCTAGCAGAGTTGTTAGTGTTAGTTGTCAGTTAATGGAGTGGTTAGTAGTTAGTTAAGTGACAGCTGTAGTAGCCTTAATTAGTTGATTTTATTTTCTTCTCATTCTCGTTTTGTATATAGTGGACTCTCCACTCACTTTTTAATGTCAGAGAATTAAAATTCCAGAAGCTCCTCTCTATCTTCTTCTTTATCATTTTCTTCACTGTAACCTTCCATGGCGTAGAGGTTCAAATCTCATCACTATTGAAGCTCAGCTGAGCTTTGAATTACTGTTCCATTGAGAAGTTTAATATGGTATCAGAGCGAGGAGCACAAGTTTGGACTCGTCTCTCAGAAGTTGTTAGTTCCAATTCCGTCAATCTCGATTTCAATTAGAGATCGCACACATGCAAGTTCATTTTTCCATCGATTTCAAGCTACAATTTTGAAAAGGCTATACTTTGCTTCTGAATCTGTAATCACTTGGAAATTGCTTCTAGATCTGTAATCGCTGTTTTCTAGTCCTCAATTACTTAGAAATTTCATCCTGTACGAGATGACTATTGTCGAAGATGACGATCAATCTACATCATCCATGGTTGAGTCTCCTAATCAGTCAAGTGTTGATATCAGTAGTCCCTTGTATATGCATCCATCTAATAATCCTGGAGCATCGTTGGTTCCTGTTCCATTTGATGGCTTTGGATATCGATCATTGAGAAGTGGTGTAATGCGAGCCCTATCAGTGAAAAATAAGCCGGGATTCATCAACGGGGAATGCAAGAGACCAGATCCAGACTCATCAAAATTTTGATTATGGGAAAGATGCAATGACATGGTCACTTCATGGATCCTGAATTCCTTAGCTAAGGAGATTGCATATAGTGTTGAGTATGTAATAGATGCAGTTGAATTGTGGAGAGAACTTGAAGATTGATATGATCAGACAAATGGAACAAAACTGTACCAGATCCAAAAGGAAATCAATGATCTATCCCAAGGAGCCCTTGATATCACTGGTTACTACACTAAGATGAAGAAGCTATAGAACGAACTCAACACTTTGATTGTCAAATCTAATTGCACTTGTAATTGCACATGTGGAGATAAGGAAAACATGCACAAAGCTGAGCAGGATAGGAGGTTGATACAGTTTCTCATGGGATTCAATGCGACATACACTGTAGTTCGAGGTAGTATACTGATGATGAATCCTCTTCCTACAATTGCCCAAGCCTTTTTATTACTAATTCAAGAGGAAAGGCTGAGAGAAATCAGGCCAAATAGTCATTTGGCTCTAAAGTCATCAGCCTTGAGTGCTAGCACAAACAGACCTGGGTCATTCAAGACAAATTATTCTCCCAGTAACAATCACATCAACAGGAACAAACCTTTTTGTGATTACTGTAAGAGACCAAGGCACACCAAGGAGAAATGCTATAAGCTTCATGGATATCCTCAAAGTTTCAGTCAGAATCAGAATCCAAATACAAATCAAAATCAGACATCCAACTTCAATCAAAATCCTAGGCAAAGTTTCAACTACAACCACAATTCCAACAGCAACCAAAATAATAGGTTCAATATAGGAAATATAGCAGTGGCTAATGCATTTGTAGCAACCACTGACACACAACCTGCTGAGACTGAGAAATATGCTGCTCATGATAATACTTAAAGTGTGAGTCTCACCCAAGAGGAATACAACCAGTTAGTGAGTCTACTGCAGCAGTTTAAATCAGGAGGAGGAAGAGACTGCACAACTAGTGCTAATATTGCATCAGGAGCAGCAAACTTTGCGGCTATTATAGCTTGTACTTCCTCCATTGATTTTGGTAAAATGTCCTGTGAATGTTTCGAAAACAAAGCTGACTCATGGATTATAGATTCAGGGGTATCAAACAACATGACTTTTAACAAATCCCTATTAACCAACATAATAGCTTTACCCTATCCTTTATTAGTTGTACTTCCAAATGGCTACAAGGTAAAGGTGACAGAAGTTGATAGTGTGATGCTCACTCCTAAGATCACTCTAGACAAAGTGATGTTTGTTCCCTTATTTAGATACAATTTGATCTCTGTTCACTCTTTGGCCTCTCATCTCAATTGTCTTGTTGTTTTTGTTAAACATTGTTGCATACTGTAGGCCCCTTCAATGAAGAGGTGTCTGGTGATTGGTAGAGTGAAAGATGGGCGGTACATCCTGTGCCCAAGCTGCCTGAAGAGGAACAGTACAAGCCCTGCAGTAAAGACCACTCATGCCTTGTCCACGACTTCTACTTGTTGCACTTGTAACACACATTGTCCCTCTCATTCTACTGTAAATAGGTCATTGCATGTCAATAAGTGTGTTTCCTCTTATCCAGTTGTAAATAGTCCATGTGCAAATACTGAAGAACAACTTTCTTTTACAAGTCCATCTTCTAAGGTTCCTAGTATATTTCTCATTTCTGTGCTAAAGGCAATATAGATGTATTGTGAAATAATAGACTTGGACATGTCCCATTTGTCAAAATGAAAAACATTACTTCTATTCCTATCAACTTCTCTCCCAAACAACCCTTCAACTGCACCATTTGCCCAATGGCTAGACAAGAAAGACTGCCATTCCCTCAGAAAACCAGTACAACCAACAGAATTTTTGAACTTCTACATGTTGATTTGTGGGGTCCATATCATGTTCCTACACATGATAGATATAGATACTTCATAACTATAGTGGATGATTTTAGTAGATCTACTTGGACTTACCTTTTATCCAAGAAAAGTAATGCCCTTCAAATACTCAAAGAATTCATGAATCTAGTAGAAAACCAGTTTGGTGTAACCATCAAATTCATAAGGTCAGACAATGGATTAGAGTTCACTAACACAGAAGCAAGTATGTTGTTTCAATCTAAAGTCACCATCCATCAAATAACCTGACCCTACACACCACAATAGAATGGTGTGGTGGAAAGAAAGCATAAATATCTCCTTGAAACAACCAGAGCACTTCTCTTCCAATCACAATTTCCTTTAAGATACTGGGGGTGAATCTGTTCTTTGTGCCACAAGCATTATAAACAGATTGCCTTCTACTTCTATTAACAATTAAACTCCATATGAACTACTGTATAAAAGAAAGCCAAAGTATTCTCACATAAAGAGCTTTGGTTGCTTATGCTATCCTACTGTACCAATACCACACAAGGACAAGTTTGAACTATAGGTGTTAATCGGGCCGGGCTGATCCGTTTTCAACCCCGGGTCAGCCCGGTTCAGCCTGTTACTGTAGCTTAATGTGCGGGCTGGGACGGGTTGGTCGGGGGGCGGATTTTGGACGAACATATTTTGGATAACGGTGCACCGTACCCGCTAAGACCGTTAACGGGTTGTTAATGGGCTGCAACCCGTTATCAGCTCGGTTACCGTTACAATTTTTTTTAAATATTATTTGGACCATTGATTTAATTAAAAAAACAACAAAAAAATTTTACACTAGCCCGGCCCGCCCGAACCCGTTAAGCCCGAACCCGAACGGGCCCACAATAACCCGAATATTCCCAACCCGCTACCAGCTCGTTATCCCAGCCCGCTAACCAACCCGGTCCGATAACGGACAGGCTGGTTTTTTTTTATTCAACCCGTCCCAGCCTACCCGATAAACACCCATAGTTTGAACCGAAAACAACACCACGTGTTTGTTGGTTATCCTTTCAACACAAAGGGGTACAAAGTTTTGAGTCTAGCCACCAGGAAGATTCATATCTCCAGAGATGTATGAGTCCATCTTTCCTTTTGCAGTCAATATGAACAAATCTCCTCAATCTTCTATCCCTCATCCAATTCCCTTCATTGAGTCTCTATGTGAGCAACCCTCTGATAATACAAATATCACACAATTGTCTGAGAATTTGAATGATCAAAGGAGTTCTGATAGCACATCTAATCCTATGTCACCTGTACATGTAGCTTCCCCATCACCTTCTGCAGTACCCATTTCTTCATTGTCTGATTCACCACAACACTACTACACTGAACAGACCCATGGAGAACCTATCCAACTGAGGCAATCTCAAAGAACTCATAAACCACCTATCTATTTGCAAGATTATGTACATTCCCTTCCTCGCCTTAAAATAAATCTTTTTTCCCTTAGTGCCTTATTCTCTATGAATCACCACATTGCCTCTGATCTACTAACTTCCAATAGTCAGACTCTTGTGAGAAATGTTTGTCATAACAGGGAACCATTATCATATGAGGAGGCTACCATTGATCCTGCATGGCAAGCAGCAATGACACAGGAATTTGAAGCACTATATTCCAATCATACTTGGGACCTAGTAACTTTACCACCTGGGAAGCAAGAAATAGGTTGCAAATGGGTCTACAAGGTGAAGCACAAAGCAGATGGCAGTATT